TCTTAGGCCTCCTGGCAACCTGCCTTTGTCCTGACTCCTTGGCTTCCTTCCAGAACTGCAAGACTTTAGATCAACAGTCACACTTGTATGACATCCCTGGCATGGCTCTTTCCAGAGACACGAGTCAAACTGAGGCCACAAGGAGGGAGGAACAGAAATCTCTAAAAAGTACGCACTAGGGCACAGAGGATTTTTTTTCCCACTTGCCCATTTTAAGACCTAGGTGCAATGGTGCAATGACAGTGAAGTGAGAGAGTTTGTTATGGTTGCATGCAGATGCCAGCTAGTATTATGCATAGTATGTATTAGTAGTGTCAAATTATTAAGATTATCTTTGTCTAAGGGTATCCGCCTGATGGAATAGCCTCCGTCCAGTGATTTGGAAAGCCTTCTGGAAAGTCTTAAAGATTTGGCTTTTCCCTCAAGCATCAGGATTGGGATGTTAGCTGTACTCCTATGTAGGTTTTATAATGCCTAATGGACACATTTTGTTGGAACTTTGGTTTCATTATATTGCAGCAGTATAACACTGCTGGTTCAAAACCCAGCTGAAGTATTTTTCAAAACTTATTACTGTTCTTTCCAATCCTCTTCTGCTTTATTCTTAAAAAAAAAAGTTTCACTGTTTCTGACTTGGTCATCTGAGACACAAGGATTTTGACCTCCAGCTTCTCAGTAGCTGATTGGTTACTCAGTATGGAGAACATTAACTCTTCTTGGTGACTTCATGGTTAAGAGTATTCAGATCAGAGTGCCACCATCTTCTTATGTTATGAGATACTTTTTGATTCCACAGTGTGGTCTACTATTCTGGTATTCATTGGGATCCCTCATCCAAATAATCCATTTAGCTTTGGAACCAACTCAAATGTTAGTATTTACGGCTTTCTTACTACATAAATTAGAGAAATGCCCATCTTCAACTACCCAGAAAACCCAGGAAATGGTGATCAAACCATTTTAGCTCTTGGTACTAAAAACAAAAAGAATATACCCCTCCCCCAAGTTATCCAAAAAGATAACTTACCACTGCTTTGATTGATTATACCAGAGAGTTGGACTAGACCAGGGGTGGGCAACCTTGGCTCTTTTATGACTCGTGGACTTCAACTCCCAGAATTCCTGAGCCAGCACAGCTGGCTCAGGAATTCTGGGAGTTGAAGTCCACGAGTCATAAAAGAGCCAAGGTTGCCTACCCCTGGACTAGACTCTTAGTGACTCACTGTTGCTTTAAGGGTCTGAAATTAGCCTAAATTTCACTCCAGTATCCTAACAGGGGTATCAGAATTACAATCCTGCCAGATACGTTGTGCTTTTCTCTCCCAATTGGTGAGTTACTTTCCCAATGCAAGCAGGAATCTGTTTCCTACCTCCAATACATGGAGGTGGATGAGGGGGATTTGTGGAATAAAGGCTCATGAACCACAGCTGTCTGTTAACAGTATAATAGAATTGGAATGGACCTGGAGGTCTTTTTGTTCATTGGAGCCATCCGCTCTTACTAAAAGGAGGTATGAAGGCTTGAATTGTGATTTTGTGGGTTTTATTTAACAGAAAGAAAATTCTAAATAAAAGAACATCACCCCAATGTTAGATTTGGCCAGTGGGAGGATAGATAAATGTGCTTTCAGATCTCAAAAGTGACAAAAAGAGCAATCAACAACTTGAATTTATCTTGCATCCTGTATGTTCTTCAGACATAATATCCAAGATTCTTTAGATAAAGTACACAGGCACCTTTTAAAAAAAACCCCCACCTCTGCAGAAAGTATTTTCAGCTTTTAGCAGTTCTTATACTAAAGCAAAACCAAAAACAACAATTAGCATCAGCCAGGAGATGCTTTGCTTCGGAATAAAATTGACAGTGGAGAAAAGTAAAGCCCCCTGAAAGAATTGAGTCACACACACACACACACATGAGTTGGAAAAGAGACTTCTGTGGCACATCTGAGATTTAGATTGTAAGGTAGCCAGATAGAAAGTAAAAAAAGAACTAATTATCTTGTCTCCTAATTGTGCAAAATAAGGAATTTGAGCAAGGGCTCTGAAGAGGTTGAAAAAAAAAATATGTGCACATTCTTGGATGCCTCCTACTCTACTTTGGATCTGGGTTCTCTACATTCCTGGATTTAAAAAATAAAGTCCCACGCCCAGAGTGTTACTCACTGTAAGGGCTTAAACCTGTCAGGCATTCTTATAACTGGTGCAGTTGTTTTTAATCCTTTGGGAATAATGCTCTGTCCTGCATAATAGATGACTTTTTGACTAATCAAAAGTATAATCCTTACATTTATGTGTTAAGGCTGATATTTCAAGCCTACTGAATGCAACTTTGCCCATGATACAGCCCTCTTCCAACTGCTTTCTTTATCCATCTGTCTGTCTCTGGATCTATGGCCAACTTTGCAGAATTTAGAAATCAGTACACTTGGCAGTTACCGTTCTGTATTTCAGTACCCTGGTTCTTTCTTCCTTTGCCAAAATATGCCCTTAGGAGTTGTGGCAAATGTCCTGTATATCTTACCTTTTCTGCTAAGCAGATCAGAAACTACCTATTCTAAAGCCAACGGAAGCTGGCTCTTTCGTTGATTGAAGAACACTGTATAGAAAGAAGGAATGAAAATCATTCTTGGATTGGAGTAGGAGCTTTTTCTACAATCTTTCTCCAAGCGGATTAATTTCATTTCTTTGAGTCATTTATCTGCTCTTTCAAATCAAAGAAGTTTGAAAAAAAAGGGCAGAGGGGGAATATGAGGGATGACTGTTTTTCCTTGGTTGCTATTAGTACAAACCTAGTTTTGGTCACTATCATCCATTTGCCTAAGGATGGTTGCTTCAATTAATTTCTGGAATGAGTATTTTCCCTGCATTACTAGCATATGTGACAAGTAACTAATCTGGCTCATCAAAATGCATGAGGATGCAGTGTTCCGGCTAGTTAAAGACATTCCTAATGCAGCAGCTTGAGGTCTGCTCTTAAAGAATTGTCCGAACATACGTAAGAAAATAACCAAGAACAAATAAAACCCCAAGGTGAGAAGATTTTTGTCTGCAAAGCAAATAAAACCAAAGGGTGTTCTCCTGTTGTGAGAAGCAGTATAGCAACCTTTTGCCAGAAGACAGGCTTAGGATACAGGAGGATCTGGACAGACTTGAACACTGGGCGCTATCTAACAAAATGAAATTCAATGAACTCCTGCCTGAGCAGGGGTTGGACTAGATGACCTCCAAGGTCCCTTCCAACTTTATTATTATTATGTCTAAAGGTGTATAAAATTCCTAGTAAACATTTGGGCTTTTTAAGTGGGCT